GGAGGGAGGGACATTGATGTGAGAGACACATCAACTGGTTGCCTCCTGCAAGTGACCCGACTGGAGCCAGGGATCGAACCTACAACCCAGGTACTTGCGCTTGACCGGGAACTGAATCTGAGACCCTTTGGTGCACAGGGCAACGCTCTATCCACTGAGCCACACCACCCAGGACTAGAAACCAATCTTAATATCCAAAAAAGGAAGAAGATTTAAAGGACTGAAAGAAACGAAGGCTCTGGGCCTTAGAAGGACCCTATCTGACATGAGTGGTGGTGACAGACACTGAGGCACTCTCTAGTCCACATCTGGTCCCCATGGAGATTTTCTAGATCATAATGCTGTTCAATGGGCCAAGTTAACCAAGAGGAAGTGGAATACCACAGCCTGCTTCCACTGTTTAATTCTCGGGGCAGGTTGGATGGAAAGGCCTGAGGGAGAAGAAAAGGCAAGGAAAGAAGGGAGGGCAGGGAAAGCAAAGAAAAAGACAAAGTGAGTATCTCTGTTCTACCCAACTTTCAGCTCGATGACTATTAAGAAAAAGTCTTGACTTCTTTGTGCCCTAAATTCCAGAAGAGATGTGTCACTGTCTGCCTCAGACTTCACGTTCCATATTTACCAGCTTCCACAGCAATCAATGAACACAGAATAGCCAGAAGTCCAAACATACCTTAAAAATAAGTTCTGGATTCGAAGCTGCCACCTCTTCAATGTCAACGCCCCCCTGGGGGCTGCCCACTAGCACGGGGCCGTTGCAGGACCGGTCCATCAGAATCGCAAAGTAGGTCTCCCTGGAAATGTCCAAGGCTTCGGCAACCATCACCTACAGGTCAGCAGGAAAGTCAAATGAATTCAGCATCAAGCTGATTTCCGCTTGGGAATCTATACAGACTCGCCACACACAGGAAACGCCTTCGTTTTCGGGCCCCGGGACCCAGCACACTGGCTCGCAGGGACTCGCGGGCTCTGCTCTCGGTGCACCCTGCTCAGGTCCTCAGCAACTGATCCTGTTAGCGAGTCCAAGTGACAGGTACTGTTGGCCTCAAGGAACCCTCCCACTTCAATCTTCCTTTCTTCTTCCTTGAGAAACCCTGACACTGAAGAAAAACTCCGGGGAAGCAGCTGCTATTTTAATTTGAGACGCTAACAGTACATATATATTGCCACACTGATTTCTCTCAAATTGCTCTGGTGCAAAACCAAGTCCGGTTGCCAAAGGGTTCTTTCTACAGTGTTTCTGATGCTTCACAGGTTTGTATACTTCCGTCTCTTGGTTCACTGTATCTGTATTTCAGTTTTTACTTTCTTTTAAATGACAAACACATTTGCTTTACAAAATTAATGCCAGTGACACCACAAGTATATAAACAAGACAAGCCACACACGTACACCCCGTGGGCCCCAGCAGCCAACGTGGTCCAGAGGCCATATGGAACCTCTGTGATCATCAGAAAAGCTGCCCCTTGCTCTGGGGGGATGCGGTCACGTGCCAGGACCATGACGGGGCAGGAGGCAGGTGGGAAGGGAGGGTGCAGGCCCCGCTCGCTGCCTCAGCCAGAGTCCTCGGCTCTGTTCAACCTTCACAACTCTACGCGGCAGCCAGAGCGGAAAAAACCACTGCTAACTCTTTGGTCTTTTTTCTAAGCATCTACAAGTATTATGGCAGTGGAATGAACCTGCACACGCAAGCATTCTGTGTGTACCTGGATGCCTTTCTTTGTGATTTTAATCTTAATACTACAACTTAGACATCTTTCCAAGGTCCCCCTCTTCTCTGTGACTATGTACTTACATGTCAATATTTATTTAACCCTGTCCCTAAAGGCAGACATTTATATGGGCTTCACTTTTTCTACAATGCTACTGCAGTGAATATCTTTGTACATATATCTTTGCACATTTGTTTGAGTACCCCTGTAGATAAGGTACCTGAAAATAAAATGGCTAGTGTTAGAATCTTCATATTTAAAATTTTTATAAGTACTCTCTAATTGCCCTGGAAAGAGAGGCTGTGCCAACTTATGCTCCCAGAAAGAATGGTAAAGATATCTTGCATGATATTTAAAAGAAAATAAGAACTTTCATAAATAATTAGCACTAGAACTGAAAATAATAGAAGTACTTACACTGCTTTTACTAAAAGTACATCAATAACAGGTTTCACACAGACAGTTATAGATTGAGTAGCATTAGATTCCAGCTACCCAGATGCCACAAGAACAGAGTTTTAAGTCACCTGAAATGTGACAATTACAGGGTGGGGCAAAAGTAGGTGTGCATCTGTTCCTATGGAAAATGATACAATAATTAATAAATAATGGAAGAATTTAAACTGTGTTTCGAGTACTCACAACTGTAAGCCTACTTTCACCTCACTCTGTTTATGATGATCTACAACATAATGAATTTAGAATTCCTTTTCAAATTTGCATGGAATTGGTAACTAGTTAAAGATAAAATACCTTGCCAGGGGCTTCATGCTGATTCTTTTGTCATGAATGGCAGCTTGTGAGTATGTAAGAAATATTTCTTGGCATACAGTGCTGGGGATATCTAGAACCATCCTGATAAAGTTCACTTGCTAACACAGAGTTGTCTGTGAATGAGGCTTACTGACTCTCAGGAGCTTTCCTCAGAAGCAACACAACATTATAACTTTTAGGGGGCTGTCCTACTCTAACACAACATTATAACTTTTAGGGGGCTGTCCTACTCTAACACAACACTGTAACTTTTAGGGGGCTGTCCTATTCTAACACAACATCGTAACTTTTAGGGGGCTGTCCTACTCTCAACACAACATCATAACTTTTAGGGGGCTGCCCTACTCTAACACAACATCATAACTTTTAGGGGGCTGTCCTACTCTAACACAACACTGTAACTTTTAGGGGGCTGCCCTACTCTAAACACATTATAACTTTTAGGGGGCTGCCCTACTCTCAACACAACATTATAACTTTTAGGGGGCTGTCACAAGTCCTATTCTTATTCCCCTAAAATGTGGACAGATGTGCTCTGGATTCCGACAAATCTGTCTGTAAAGACCAGCTGCTGTCCCAGATAGTGCCTACTTGTAAAAATAATCTGTCACTCTTTATGAAACATCCCCAGGAAAACAATGATTATCAATAGATAATTCAAGAATTTTATACAAAGGCAATCTTTTCCATTATTAAGCCATCCTATGACCTAGGCCGTGAGAATATTTTAGGAAGCGTTACAGAGAGAATGGGAATGGACGGTGAACACTCATCCCATGAGAAGCTCAGTTAGGTGTGTTTCAGAAAAGCTTCATCGTGACCGACACCGAGGAGACCGTCAGGGCAGCCTCTCCGTGGGGCCCTCGGCAGCGCCTGGTAACGGGCTGACCCTGATGTGAGCACTGAATGGTTTGGTTCGCTGCCAGACCGAGGCCAGGGCACAGGCTTCCCGTGGCTCGGCCGTGACGGGGAAGCTGCAAAGTTACCCGTGTCTGACCGTCCCCCACGGCCGGCAGTCCCACTCCTGCCTCACCGCCCTGCCACTGTCCCTCGGTCACACTACCACATAGCCGCACGGCCCTAGGGGAAAACATCCGATGTGTACAGAGGTCTGTATGTGCCGAAATAACTATTCAATCAGACTTAGAAATCTCAACCTTCTATAATCTGGGGACTTCTGACATGTCCGAGGCTGCACAGTAAAAAGGAAATGCCTGTTCCGTAAGGTGTGTGACACCACTGCCTGTTAGGGAAAGGTGGTAAACGCCCCTTACGCAGCAGAAGGGCTGGGGTAGGGAGAACACAAGGAACTTGTACTTCTTACCTTTATATTTCTGTACTACTGGGATTTCTATATAAGTTAATCACTTTTGCAATCAGAAAAAAACCTACTTAAAAATAAATCCCTCTAGTAGTTTCCTGGCAATGACTCCATTTTCAAGAATGCACTTCTTGCCGGTGTTTCAGGAACCTTTCTATAAACTAATTTTATGCTCATCTGTATAGCGTGACTCTTTGTGTATTTTTATGTGCTTTTAAAAAGTACCACAAACGCTAATCTAAAAACCCATGTGTCCATAAAAAAAACCCGAATTCTTACAGACAAAAATACTAATCATTTCCTCTATGGACAAATTCGGAAGAAGTTACCCAGGTAAAGGCTCATCGCCAGGTTTAAAAGGGAAATGAAAGCAGTGCTGGGCTGAACAAAACCAAGTAAAAAAACACTCTTACATTTGAAACAGTTCCTGCGGCTACGTGAGCGTGAGCGGCAGTGGGAGGGGAGGTAAGCGGAACCTGGGTGCGCGTCCCTGACATTCAGAAAGGCTGTGTCCAAGCGAAGGAGCCAACGATCGCAATGCCCAGTCTCCCCCCAGCTCAGTGTCCCCTTGGGAAGAAGACAGACTCTCTAGGGGCAGAATAACCACAAGCTGGTGATTTTCTTTTCGGTCCCGGTCAAGAATTTTCCACACAACTCTCTCTGAAAAGTAAATCCAGAATGCACTGCCTCAGTTTCCCTAAGCGTGGTACACTGGCAGAGATCATCTGGGATTCAGTGTCCACAGAGCAGATGGTCCCTCCCCAACGTGCTGGGCCCTGGTTGCCCTTACAGTGGGGCCATCTAGCCCTGCGCCTCCTCGCTGGGAGGCATGACCTGTGCAATCGCACAGGGCCTAGGCCCAGAGGGGTCCCTCTCCCAGTCTCCTGGTTTAATGTTCTGCTGTAGCTGACATGCAGTTTGAACAAGGGTCACCATGGTTTTATTTTGCACTGAGTCCTGCAAATCAGGCAGAAAGTCTGGGGCCTCGATACAGGGCACAGCGGAGCTGAGATGAACAGACTGACAGGACAACTGGTAGGTTTCGGCCTCAGCTCTGCCATGCACAGTTCATGACTGAGGCCGGGCCCTAGGCTCTGGGCTCCATTTTCTGTGTGAGAGTGTGTGTATGTATGTGTGTACGCCCGTGTGTGTGCTCTATACACACCCGGGTGCCCCAACAGATCTGACTAATACAACATATTCTCAGCAAGAGCACTGGCTCAGATGACAGTAACCTCAAAGTAAGGTACAGCTGCACTTGGAAAAACAAGCGGAGCAGTAGCTTTGCACAGGGCCGAGGCTGGGCTGTGGGAGCAGGGAATGTCCCTTGCTAAGCACGACAGCCGTCACACGGAGCCCTTTCAGCTTGGAAAAGAATGTGTGTTCTGAAAGACAAAGCTCCTGCCTCACTCAGGCACCCTCCTCACTTTTACTACATGCTGAGGATAATAATATTGCTATTACAGAAACTTTTTATTTCTCCTCAAAGCCATACCACATGCTAAACAGATGACATGAGGTTTGAAAACAAAAGGGTGCATCGCCAGAGTGCATTAGGTTCTGCCCAAACTGAAGTATGACTCTCTCTTTTTAACACATACATGGAAAATGACCAGAAGCATTCGTGTTACCTTGTTGACTTTCACACCTTCCTTTGGAGTCTGTTTCGTTGTTAGATTATATCCAATCATCTGTTTAGCCAACTGTCCCACAACTTTAGGGCTAAGAGAGAGAAGAAGAGAGAGAGAGAAAAGAAATTCAATGTTTGTTAAAAATCATTTTAAAGCAGGGTCCACACTCAATTCTCATGTCTACACTAAAGAGGGCACACCTCCATGCCCGGAATCTATGGGACTTTCTGTTCATAAATACAGACAAATGGATGGAGGAAGGAAGGGGGAAGGAGAAAAGAAAAGATTTGTACTTACCTCTGCTACCCCCGCCCCCAAACAAATTAGTCACAGTAAAGAGACAATGCTGAGATGCACAACAGGTTTAGATAAGAGCTGAATAACTAAGACTTGAGAAAGGGCAATTTGGAAAGTATTGGACAATGAAGGGATAAAGGTGAGGGTAAGAATCACAATAGAAAATGAAAGGTTCGTGAAAGGAGAGGCACAAGCTCAGTGCCGGGAGACATGGAGCTACAGCTGAACCTACAGGCCCAGATGGAGGAAGACTTGCACTGCATCAGACAGGGGAGACTACTGGCGTCACTGGCAATGGGGAGCTACTGCAGGTTCTTGAGTAGGAGAGTGACATTAAGGAAGCAGTTACTTAATTTGTAACTGGTACCATTTCCAACATTTGGAGTGAAAAAGTGATTGTCTAGGAGAGAAGCAGTGTCACGTATCGCCAGTTAGTGAAGAAAAGCCCTTTAACGGGAGCAGACGGAACCCGGCATTGGCAGCATCTACCTGTGACGTGTCTCCTCTACTTGCTAGCTCTAGCTCCTAGCCTCCACCCCCACCTTCGCTGTCTGTGCTCCTTTCGCGAACCAGCAAGACCTTCCTTCCATAACTGCTGGGCCCACAGACAAGGAATGAAAGCTTCCAGACTTACTCTCTTGTTAAGTGAACGCCTCCTTGCAAACCGCTACTGAACGTGCCTTTGCCTCTTCCTCCGGCTAAGATCTGAGCTTTTAAAACAATTTCTTTTGCATCTGAAAAGAAAATTCAGAGTGAGCAGTTGATCTGAAATTATTTTTTAAGCAACCAAGAAAGTGGTACTGACATAACTTCCAAAACGGTTTGTAAAAGCCCTCTCCAGCCAACTTTGAAAATGAAGGGATAAAGAACTTCAAAAACCATCCAATGTGCCTAAATGCAGAGTCTGTTTATGGAGGGCATTTAAATATTCCTACCAGTTTAACCTAATCCTGGACCATCCCAAGGGAAAGCAAGGCACGTGTCCCCTCACTGTTCTGAGTGTCAGAAGCTGAGTAACTCCAGGCGGGAGGCACTGATTTCACTGCGTAATGACGCTGCCCCCCGGCAGAGGCCCCAATCCGCCAGGCACAGAAGCCAACGACCTGTCAGTCACCTGAGCTGTCAGAGGAAGGCAGGGTCAAAGACAAATGCAAAGGGAGTATTTAATAACTATATTCTTGGAAACCAACAGTTCTCTGAGCAGTTGCTCTATATATTGACAGGGCTGGGTAAGGGAGGAGGGAATGGATTAAAACTAAAAGCAAGCAATATTTTCTACATGTTGGCAGGGTAACAAAACTTCCCAGGGGAAAGTGGTTGTGGAATCTTCGCTTCATACTCAGGAAGAGAGTGAACTGCCTGTTCTTGAATTTGAAACCAGAGTCGTAAACTCAGATATCTTTATGGGCCGGGCAGGAAAGCTGGGTGTGTGAAGTAGCCCAGTGCTGGAGACAGGGCTGTGTTGGAGACGGGCTTTAGAAAATAGCAGAGCTCCCCTCCTGAACCATCAAAAAGACAGAAAAAAGAAGGCAGTCCCCAAATCAAATAAGTTTAATCAACCAGGCAGTACCCACCTTCAGGCCACAGCTGGCATCCTCTGTGACTCACATTTGTCTAAAATCAGAGAACTACACCTGACAATCTTCTCTAAGGCTCCAGTAATTTCTGGCTCAGCACAGCAGGTCTAGACTCGGGTTCCAATCCAGCCTACATCCCTTACCTAGCTGTGTGATACTGACCAAGTTACTTTTATTATCTCTGGGACTCAGTTTACCTGATTATGAAATGATGATGAAGATTGTTTTAAAAATTAAATGAGATAATACATGTGACTACTTTATCCCAAGCGCCTAAAAATTCCTATGATTATGAAAAACCACTGCCACAATCAATTAGTCCATGTATTGCCTTTGTAGAGTGTGAAGAGTCAGAAAGATTATTTCCACTTGGGCAAAGATGGTAAAAAAAATTGTTGGTATGTGGCACGGTTCATGTAAAGTGCGAGCTCTGCAGTGTTGGCTGTCTCAGCTGTCCCTGCCGATGCTGTTACTCCCAGGCCAGCAAGCAGAGCTGCCAACAGGGAGCCACAGAGGGTTTACCGTGAGGCAGGAGGAGCTGCCGAAGGACGTGACACAGGCCCTGGGCAAGGCGGCCACTGCACCTGCTGTCGCGAGATTATTCAAGTTCACTGTCTCTACTGGTTGGTCTTCTCCATTGTTTGCTAACCCTCAGAAAGCCAGGGCCCACCTTCTCTCAGAAGCAAACACAGCTGTCTCTGTGCCGCACTCTCTGCCCTCTAACAGCCGATTCTGCCTGGAAATGAGCCATCACGCCACCAGCCAAACCATGTTTTAGAATAAACGGGCTCCCATCAAACAGCAGAAGACAAGCTATGACGACCACTTATTATCAGAAACTCACCAGGAAAGGAAACAAGTAAAAAGAATTTATTGCATATTTATGCTAATGAATATAAAGAAAAGCAGTGTAAGCAAGGTCTTTGGGGTTAACAGACCCACGGGACAACCTCCAACTCCACCCATCACTCCCTTTGTAGAGAAGAGGAGCCTGAGGCTCAGAAAGGTAACCGCGGCAAGCCCAACTGTAAAATGGTCATCATAATTTATGTGCTAGGATGATGTCAAAAAATAAACACAATATACTAGGTAAGTGCTTATCTAAAAATAGCCAAAATATATCTATAATATTTTAAAAATAGCCAAAATATGATATCTAGCACCATTATCATTATTTTCAGCAATTAACCAAAAGAGTGGTATATAGGAAGGTACTTCTTTTGAAGACATCAAGTGTTTGAAAAACCTTTTCGCTGTCTGCTCAAATTTTTCATTGTGATCTCTTAAAATTCTTTTAAAAGGACACTGAGCATGCCATTGCCTTGTCCTGCAGAAGGAAAGGGCGCTCTCCTCCTCAGGCTTTCTAGCAGCAAACTGGACAGCCAGACAGATGTCTAACAGAGCCCTTAACTGGCCCTACACGGTGTGACCGGATCAGCTTCAGGCACTAACCACCAAGACGACACCTCCGCGGCCTCACTGGGGCGTTGTCACTGTGTGTTGTCCTCTGACCACACCTCAGAGGACTCCACGTCCCCCACCTGGCAGGCTAAGCAACCACTTCAAACACTGTGAAGCCATATATTCAGTCGGGTAAACAGAAAAAGGCAGAGAAAACATCTCCTGCAACTTACACTCCAGGCCCAAAATAAGTTCACTACAATCATCTCTTCTGGTCCCATCTCAAGGGTGAAATTAGTCCAGCAGGTCCAGAGCCCAACGTAAAGCACGTTTTTTTCATCTTTTTTTTTTTTTTTTAATATATCTTTATTGATTTCAGAGAGAGGAAAGGAGAGGGAGAGAGAGAGATAGAAACATCAATGATGAGAGAGTCATTGATCGAGCCCGCAACCCGGGCATGTGCCCCGAGAATCGAACCACGGTCACCTGGATCCTAGGTCGACGCTCAACCGCTGAGCCACGCCCAGCCGGGCAGTTTTTCTCATCTTGAAGGAAACTCACGTGAAGCAATTTAATTCATGTGGTTTACTCAAGGTGCCGAAAATTAAGTAAGCAACCAAATCCTACTGAACAGTAACAAGTCTCCTCACTCACTATTTACCAGACTGATTCACATGCAGTGTCATTATTTCTATTTTATTTAAAGATCTGATTTCTCCCAAAACTCACACAAATTTCTAGGTGTGTTTTTTTTAATGTTGCCTCCTACTCCCAACCATAACCACAGAAGACTATCCCATACATGGAACTCAATTTTCGTCTGCACACTAAGGTAAGAGGGTAAAGCAGGCCGGGGAGTAACGCCACCGACTCTCGGGGCGTTGTGGGGGGCGGGCTGCTCCACCCACGCGCTCACGGGCACGGCACTGCCTCCGACCTGGCATCAGGTCCGCGTGCCTCCCGGCCCCTGCTCTTAACTACACCCCGCCACACGGGAGCCAGAACACGCAGCGCGCATTTCTCCGTGTCCTCTCCTGGTGCGGTTCCCACATGCTGCCCTGCTCAGGCCAGGCTTCCACTGCGTGATGGAACCTGTTACTATCACTATGCATGTATTTTAGGACAAAAGCACTGTAAGAAACATATTTGGTGGACTTACAGATAGACATGGAAGACTCTCAGATACCAATTCTACAGCCACTTAGAAAGCCTGAAACACCCACACCACGGTCTCCTTTCGCTATCAGCTGCATGAAAATAATTCTTTCTCAAAGGTCTTCCTCTCATTTTCTACCACAAGTGTTATTTTAATTATAATACAGTTTTATAGCAAATTTTATAGTCTGCCAATAGTCCCATGCTGGTTAATAAACATTCTTGGAAGCATTATTACACCTAAAAAGAAAAAACATTAAATTCATTAGGGAAAGCATAAGCTAAATAGAGTAAGAAAGAAATGTCTTCAATTAGGCAGGCTTGGGGAAGCCGGTTCACTCTGCTCCTTAGAGACGGCTTCCTGACAACATAGTTATGCAAAATTTGTTCACAAGACACAGTTCAGGACCATAATGCAAAAGGACCACGGTAAATGTCTGAACATAAGTTTATCAATATTCTTGATAAACATCTTATTTTCAACTATTTTTTTTTTTACATTTATAGGTGCTGGGTTTTTTTTAAATTTATCTTTATTATTGAAAGTATTACAGATGTCCCCCTTTTTCCCCATTGACCCCTTCAACCCCACACCCACTCCCCACCACAGGCCTTTACCACACTATTGTCTGTGTCCATGGGTTGTGCATATATGCATATAAGTTCTTTGATTAATCTCTCCCCACCCTTTCCCCCACCCCCACCTTCCCTCTGAGATTTGTCAGTCTGATCCAATCCATGTTTCCATGTCACGGAATCTATTTTGTTACCAGTTTATTATGTTCTTTAGATTCCACATATAAGTGAGATCATGTGATATTTGTCTTTCTCTGCCTGGCTTATTCCACTTAGCATAATACTCTCCAGGTCCAGCCACTGTCCCAAAAGGGTACGAGATTCATAACTATTAATATACACTTTGCTGGTAATACAATTTTTAAAGCTAGATAAAAATTACCTCTAGAAGGGTTCAATTCAGTTGTAATATCTTACTCTTCCTATAGTTTAATACTAATGGACTAACCTTATATTTTGCCTATTAAATAAAAATATCTATTTATATAAGAAGATTAAGGATGGGCAATCCTAACATTGATGGCAACAATACCCATGTGACCTTTTTCAAGTACTTACAGCTAATGGAAGGATTTCTCCTACTGTAAGATTGCAACCACAGGACAGTAAACAGTTCTTCTGAAAATGAAGTCAGTTGTAAAATCACAATTTTTCAGAAAAAACACACATGAGTTTTTATATAAGAAATTTCCAGAAGAAATCTCTATTGTGTTTTATACCAATTACAGGATGAATTAATGACACACATGAATAAAATATCTGTGTAACATTTGTAACTTCAACAGGTCCTAGAAACAGTCCTGGAAGGAGAAAATCACTTATGGCCAGGCTGGCGCGGCTCCGCAGTAGAGCCCTGACCTTGGGTCCAGGAGGTCACTATTGGATTCCCAGTCGGGGCACATGCCTGGGCCTCAGGCTCGATCCCCAGTGGGGGGCGTGCAAAAGGCAGCTGATCAATGACTCTCATCATTGATGTTTCTCCCTCTCCCTTTCTCTCTCTCTGAGATCAATAAAGTGTGTGTGTT